AATAGCTGGGATTCATGGATGTTCATCCCACTAAAAATGGTATTAATAGGTATTGATCCATACCCATATTAATAAAACTAGTTGGATATTCAAAATACCATAGTTGATAGATTTCTATAGGGATTATTCATATTATATGGGTTATTTTATATATGGATTTAGATATTTTTCTTGGGATATATTAGGATATTCAAAATACCAAGGGTGTGGGATATGTCAACATCAAGGGAGGTCAGGGAAAAGGTTGGTTTGAGCCATTCAAAACATCATAGTTGATATATATATATATTTATAGGGATTATACTATCTGGATTTTTAATGATCTATTTATATAATCAATATTAATCAATGGGAATTCCAGGATCAATGGAGCTACGCTAGTAGCATATATATATATAAGGCCATACTTTGTTGGGATATGTTGGGATATTCCCTGAAATTTAGGCCTTTTCTTCTAGGCCTTAGATATGGTAGGTACCTCCAATCAATCGGTTCCTGTTGCATGGCCATTGATGGGATGATTATGGGATATACCATCTGGTTATTTAACATAGCCATGGAAAATCACCATATTTAAGTTCGGTAAACCCAGGTAAACCATCTATTTCTATGGGCCATCTATACCATGGCTATGTTAGTCATAACCAGAGGGTAGATAGGAATAAATCTGGGTAAATTATAATATTTCACTAACCTGAATTAAGGTCTTTTGGGGATGATTCCCCTTACTAACCATGATTATAGTGAGGTCGCAGTGAGGTCGTTATAATTTACCTAGATAAATCATAGGACCTAGGATCATTTTGGAATATACATGACACGCGGCTGGGAAATCCCTTAGACCAAAGCGTAGTAGTGTCGTTGGCAATTCATCATCGAACTGTACAAAAAACGTTTGAGGACACCGGAGTGTATGGCAATTTGAGTGAGAAAATGAGCTATGAATAGCTATGATCCCTATAAATAATGGCAATTTCTGGCAATTTTAGAGGACACCGGAGTGTAGGCATCTGGATTTACCCTCTGGTGATTCAACGTAGCTATGGAACATGGCCAGATTTTTGCAGATGATGCATGACGATTCCGGTCCAGTGGGTCCAGTAAGGGTCCTCCGTTGGGTCCAATACGGGCAATTTAAAGGTTAATATATGGGCTGGTTAAAGAAACATGGGAAACTATGGGAAAATCATGGGAAAAATGGGCTAATGATTGTTAATATATGGTTAATATACTGTTCATATATGGTTAATGATGATGGTTAATATATGGTTAATGATGATGGTTAATATATGGTTAATGATGATGGTTATTATATGGTTAATGATGATTAATAAAAATCTGATTGGTGGTTGAGCCACCTACCTACCCCTCTGAAACATGATGGAGTGAGTGAAAGTCAGTTGGGATTATGACATTACTGAATGGAAAGCTATAAAATTCATGTTCCAAACCACCAACCAGAAACTAGTTTTGACTGTGGTACATACATGAGAGAGAGCAACACCAGCTGTGAAAACATGCTCTTTTGCGCGAGGTTCTTGTGATCATTGGACTGATTACATGCTCAAGATGCGGTTACATAGTTCCCGAATTGCGGTTTTGTCGCTCAAAATTAATCCTGGAATTAGTCACGTCCGTAGTTACTTGGCTATTCACAAAGTTGATTCATGCATCGTATTCCCTTAGGTCATTGTTCTAATCTAATTGCATGTGGTGGGATTCAGTTCCCAACGGATCACTTCAATGATCCATTTCTTGTCATGTGTGTATGTGTGTGTGTGGGGCCCCATGTTGGTCTTGCGATAAACTGATAAACCACACAATAAACATGTTTTAAGGTTTCGTTGGGGCGTTTAACATTCCGAAATTGTAAAATAAAGTAAACGGGATATGTTTTATGGCGATTGGTTTCCCACACTTGAATTCCTCTCTTCATTAGAGGTCTATGGTGCAGGAAGGACCCCCTTGAATAGTTAAGTTGCTTTATAACTAGACTCACCACAGCTGGGATTTACCGTGGAGATGTCTATATCATGAAAGTTTGAGGGCGCTAAAGGTCACCAAGCAACAATGATCATGCCTTAAGATTCGCTCCAAAAAATATGGCTTAAAGCTTGGTGAAAGTAATAGACCTAGTATATGTGAGCTAGATGAATGGAAATATCACCTGAACTATATATATATAATATGGAGTGTAAATCATCTACTAACAGGGATGCACCCCCAAGTGGCAGTGAATCACCCTTTACCATGGCCTTGATTGTTGGGAACCCGACCGTATTGGGGTGGTATCTTTCATGGAACTTGATGACCATAGTTGGAGTCAAAAACCCTCTGGTAGTCAAACTGACGTTCTTATTTTTCAGAGGGGTCAAAAGCACCAAACAGGATCACAATGGCTAATCAATGATTAGTAATAACAATTATTCTGATTAGTAACCACTATTAAGAATGATTTACCATTGTCAACCATGATAATTCCTACAATGTGAGGCCCCCAAGATAGCTAAGTTGGTTTAGATTCGCCCCAGTAACTATAGTTATTTGCGTACCATGAACCATAGTTATTGGAGTTATAAACCAATTTAGCTATCGAACGGGGGCCTCACATTGTACACATGGAGGTGTTGATGCAAAATCATCCATAAATGGATGAGTTTCCGTTGCCACGTTTGATGACACCGGAGGGTATCACCAGGGTATACGGCGATTCCTGAAACCACCGCGCCTCACGTCTCGAATGCGGATGAAAGCCTGGAGTTTTGATTGGGATATGTACGGCATGGAGTTTTGATGATATATAATGGGATGATGGCATAAACAACAAACAGAATCAACAACCTTAGATTCACTGCAAAGAATTGCTTTCTGCGCTGGTTTATATATATATATGTGTAGATACAAATATATATATATATATCATTATATCTATATATATATATATACTCATTTATAGAAAAATATGATAGCATAATTGCATAATATACTCAAGTATCCATCCAAGATTGACCCACTAGATAATTCACAAAGCCAAATTGGAGGTATCTACCATATATAAGGCCTATGTAAGGGCTATGTAAGGGGATATACCCCCAAAACATTGCCTTATATGGTACAGTACCTCCATTTTAGGATCCTGGAATTCCCATTGACAGTCTGGTATGACCCGCAAGTGGCAAGACTTGGTATGGCCTATTGATGATGACAACGCTTTCGGATTGGGACCCTCAAATGAACAATTCCACTCATTGATGCAGATTTCTGCAGTTTCTATGGTCGGGGAAGCAGATTTATCATACATAGTGGGGCCCCCTAGTTATAAGTTGGTTTATAAACTCCATTACTATAGTTATAAATTAGAAATATCATAAGCCATGGTTATTAGAGTCACAAACTTAGCTGTCTATGGGGCCTACTTTGCATGAATGAAAAGAAACATGTGAAGGTAATATGTGGTAGACTGGTATGCCAGTGATTTTGACCAATAGAAACCAAATATAACCACCAAGCAGGTAGCTTTCAAACCACCATTCTGAAGTTTAAAAAGTAGTTCCCTGACCAAGATACGAGTTTTAGATCATTGAACATCAGGATCTATATAGTACGTATAATTATACATTCATCTACAATATTTATAGGAAAAACATCAACACATGGTTTACATCAATAATCATGTATAAACAATAAAGGACAACATAGATTGTGATAATGTAAATAGATTCTTGTAAGATTGGATATATCACAATCTATGTTTTCCTATAAATGATATCATACATGATAATGTCATAATCAAGATATCTATGCAACACAATTGTGATATATCAAATTCTTGCAACATCATGATATAGGCCCGAAAGCGAATCAACCTATTCCCTGACCTCCGATGTGGAAGCACCACACCTTGCGCGCAATGTCGAAGCGTAAACTTTGCAAGGCATCCAGCGCCAGGGCTCTCCAATCCGCCTCATGAACGCCGGGATGCGGAAAAAATATGTGGGTAAAACGGTATTACCATGCCATAAACCACCCATTTTCCTGGGAATGGTTGCTTATGCCAATGTTTTTGCCACATTATATGGAACAAAACATCGACAGAACTTGAAGCGGCGAAAATGGAGGATTTGATCAGCAAACAACACAAGGATTTCACAAGCTAAGTTAAGGATTTAAGCAGCGCCTTAGTTCTGAATTTGATCAGCAAAACATATGAATTTGTCCAGCAAAAAATGAGGATTTGAGTAGTTAAATTTCTTGCTGAACAGCAACATGTTTTTTGCACAATCACCAGCATGGCGTGAATGTTTTAACGTTGTTTCGGCAGTGTTTTGACACGTGGTGTTGCAAAATTAAGCAAAATTGGTATTAAAACAGCAGCAACTAGGTTTTTAAAACAAAAACACATGGATTTGGTCAATTGAACAGGGATGACATTTTAACCAATACACTACACCTCATAGAATCTACATAATATAATAGAAGCTATTGGAATGGAACCAAGAACATGTGGAAACACAACCAAGAAAAATGAAGAACATACCAGCAAACATGTGCAAAAATTGGATGTATTGAAACCACCTGAAAGAGGGAACCATGGTGCAAAGACTAGTTTTCTACTCACACCCATCTCACATAAACGACCGCATCAAATATTCCTCATTTGAAGCAACACAAGCTATGGATTTCTACTGTACCCCTTTCAGCCGTTGGTTTACCCTGTTGTCACATGTTGCAACCTGTGTGATTAAGGCTGTTTCAGAGCCGAAGAACATGATAAATCAAGATAGCGATGGCGATTCGATAATGGTGATGGTGATGACGAAGATGATGAATATTTTTTTGCCGCCACACAGGGCCTTTCATCTTTGCGTCCGGATACCAGGCAGAAGAATCTAGCTGGACCTTCATCGAGAATCCGGTCGCAAGTTTCAGCTGGCAGTTGCTTGTGATCCTGGGCCTTTGACTTCAGTCACGACTGGAAGGATCAGTTGCTTCTCTCCGCAAATGGCAATTTCTATAAGCTATGAAATTTGGGTATACAATGATACACCCAATGTCTAGACACACCCTATGTTTCCAGGGTAAAATAGTAATGGCAATCCCGTGTTTTTGATATTACCCTCCCATGCTTCCCATCACAATCCCGTATTGTTGATGTTAAAACCCTATGAAAAATGCAGGCCAAAACCCTATGAAATGGTCACAATCATCTACCCTCTGGTTATGTCAAAATAGCTATTGAAAATGGCCATAGAAATCGTGGATTTTCCCATTAAAAATGGTGGATCTTTCCATAGTTACGTTAGTTTACCAGAGGGTAATATCCGTTGGTATCCGATATCAACCTCAACAAATCCATCTTTCGCCATCTGTACTATAGGTGGTGCCCAGTTCGTTAGCTAACTTGCTGAACATAACTCCAATTTCACGTTTGGGTTTATGGAGGATGTAACGGTAACTAGTTACTATGGTGTTTAAACCAAGTTATAACTGGGACTAGTTACTATGGTTTATAAACCAACAAACATCACCGGGGGGGGCACCACCTTGTAGTCTTACCATAGGCTGTACATGGTTTACCACGGTCACCCTGTGATCGACTTTGATATGAAGCCATAGGTTGTTACCCAACCTGGTTATGTCAAAAAAGCTATTGAAAATGGCCATTTAGAAAGAGTGAATTCTTCCCATGAAAAATGGTGGATCTTTCCAGTTCGCTATGTAAACGTTTACCAGAGGGTAACTATAGTTACAATGATGCAATGAACCCTAGTTATAGCCAACTATAGTTCATGTTATAGTAGAAATAACAGTGGTAAACTCTATGTTGAACTATAGTTATTTTAATTTTGTTACATTGCTATACCACATAGTTCATGGTAGGTTATACCTGGCTATAAACCACCATTGCCAACTTACAACTGGGTGTTTTTTGTTCATATATATATATATATGTATGTATATAACATATATATATATATATGTGTATATCATTAACTACTATATACAGATGTCTCTGTGATATATCCTGTGATCACCGAACTAAACGGAGGCCCCGCCCCTTCCAAAAACGGTTCGCCACCTCTGTCACCCCGAGGCATGCCACGCGGTAGGCGGTCTCAAAGTCCTCGTGGAGATGAGAGCTGGATGAATTTAGGGGTACCCTCATGGATTGGACACCTCCATATCGTAAAAACCATGGTAAGGTGTTCCATTTAGGCCATTTATAGGTATATTATGGTATATTTTAAAGGTTATCACGGGATATTTCAAAGATATATCAATAGTTAACAAAGTTTCTTGGAACAAACAAACAGTTGTAAGTTGGCAATGCTGGTTTATAACCAATATATCTACTATAAACTATAGTTGATTATAACAGTGTTGACTACGGTGATTTCAACTAGCATTGTTGGTTTTAACTAGGGTTCATTAGGCTTCATAATCATTGTAACTACAGAATTACAACCTATGGATCTATCTGGGCAAATTATAATATTTCACTAACCTGAATTAAGGCCATTTGGGGATCATTTCCCCTACTAACTATGATTCCAGTGAGGTCGCAGTGAGGTCGTTATAATTTACCCAGAAAATGGTCTATCATAGGTGACCATGGTAACCAGGGTAACCAACCGACATCAATTTTCATGTTGACACTCGTCAAATTTTGCACAGTTCATCATAGTTCATCCCATGATCCCCAGCTGCGAACGCGAAATACGAAAATCACCAGTTGATAGGTGGTAAAAATCCTTTTTTTTGGTTGGTACCCTCTGGTAATTTAAAATAACTATGGAGAATCACCATTTTCAATGGGTAAATTCACTATAAATGGCAATTTTCAATAGCTATTTTGACATAACCAGAGGGTAAATAGCATTTTGAAACACTATATAATGGGATTTACCACCATTATTGCACCCACTATTGTTGGTTTCAAAAGTTTCAACCATCCTTTTGGTGGTGCAAGATTTCGCAACCACCCACTCTTCATCCCACGCAAAAATCCTCTAAGTCCCCATTACCATTAGGAATTACTTAAATAAAATAAACGTAAATAAACAACTATTATATAATGGTGGGTAGGCCATACCCCAATATGAGTATCATCTAACCAAACTGTTATCCCATGGCACATGAAGGTTAATGTCACTTAATGTGGCCAAAAAAAACCATCAGAAAATGTGATTTAACGTGATTTAACCTTGACAAATAGGCATTTAATCAGCAACCATTGGGGATTATAACAGTGATATAATACTGGTTGGTGGTATACCTACCCCTCTGAAAAATATGAGTCAGTTGGGATTATTCTTCCCAAAATATGGAAAAAAAATGTTCCAAACCACCAACCAGGGGACTATAACGGTGATATAATATGTCCCTGAAATTACACACCTCCCATCTGGACCCCCAATTCATGAACAGATCCAGTACTAAACAACGGTTTTCTTGATGGTACTTGATATTAGGGGAAAGGGATCAAGTGAATTTTAAATGTTAGCTCATCCAAAACAAACAGTTTTGGATCGTTTTGGTCAATTTTGAGTGGCCAAATGGCATGCTTTCGGTAGTTGTGGCTTTTATTTTGGGTCTGAATGTTGTTGCTTTTTGGTTCAACAAACTATCTGAAACCACGTTTTTTGAGGCAGCAAACTAGCTATCTCTTCGCGGCGACCACCACGTGTCCAGGTGACGTGACCAAGGTCTAGCCGTGTACGACAGCTGCACGTGACCACGTCATATATGTATGGTTATCTGAGTTACCCTTTGGTTATTTAACATAGCCATGGAAAATGACCCATTTATAGATGGTCTACCTATTAAAAATTGTGATTTTCCATGGCTATGTTAAATAACCAGATGGTATATGTGGTCATATGGAATTAGGGTTTATATTTATATATATATATATGTGTGTGGGTAAATTATAATAATTCACCAACCTGAATGGTTGGGCCATTTTGGGATGATTCCCCTTACTAACCATGATTTCCAGTGAGGGAGAACAGGGTTCGGTCGTTATAATTGACCCAGATGTGTGTTCCAGTGAAGGCACTACTCTGAGCAGCAGGTCCAGTGAACCGCAACAAAGCTGCGGTTCGACAGCTGCAAGTTCTGTAGTGCAACTCCCTTGATCTCGGAAGGGTCAAAACCCTGGAACCCTATGGCCTTGGCATTGAGATCGCCATTTTGGGCCCAATTTTAGGAAGCGGTGAATGCGATTGGCACAACTGGGAGATCTTGGGGGCGTAGAAGGTGTATTTGTAAAACTAAGCTTAGCCATCTACCATCTGGTTATTTAACAGTTTGCCCATGGAAAATCACCATTCTTAATATATAGGTAAACCATCTGCAAATGGGCCATCTATACCATGGCAAACTGTTAAATAACAAGAGGGTAACATTCTTCAAGATTCTGAAAAACCACTCAAGTGGCCATGGCCCATTGTGCTTACTTCGAAGGCCGACCGCATCGACGGAATTGGCCAGGTGAAGCATGATACAACAACAGCGTCAGCATGTACCAACTACAAAGATTGTTTCTTGTATGATCCGGTTGCCCGTGAGAAATTGTAACAATGATTGAGTTGCCATCATATACCAACTTCAGAAGTTAACATACGGTGGATGGAAGAAATCCTGCACCACCAAAAGGATGGTCGAAAACCTATAAATACTGGGATGTTTACCATCTATCAACTGGTGCAGGATTTCGCAACCATCCACAGTATCAAGCAAGATAATGCAAATTCCACTGAAGTTGGTATATCCAGTTAACAAAAGAATATGTTGGTATTCAGTTGGATACTGATACACTGATCATTGTTGATATATCAGTAAATTCAAAAAAATACATAAAAATGATCCACTGATCCACAAACTGGGACTCTCTATCAGACACCCAGCAGCGAATTGAATGGGATGTCATCACCCCAGCAGCCCATCCCACCATGAAATTAAGGGACCCCTTGACAGTCGGCCAGTCGGCCAAATATCCTGCATTTTTTTACTAAGAAGTCTCACTTTAGCAAAACAAATGACGGTAGGTGGTATACCTACCCCTCTGAAAAATATTAGCCAATGGGAAAGATTATCCCATATATTATGGAACATATAAAATGTTCCAAACCACCAACCAGATGAAGTCTTAAACTAACCATTCAACGATTACAATCCCCTATTGTTGATTTCCACTACAATTCGCTGGCTTTGTTGGTGGTCAAAACCGCTGTAAATGATGGTGAAATCACCATAAAATGGTATTACCAATCCAATGTCCCCTGGTATAAGTCACGTTTAGTCACATTTATATCACACTGTCTCTTAATGTCCCTTATATTTCCGATGGTTGCCCCCATATTCTGTTGGTTATCACCCCTATGTTAGGTTGTGAATTCCTGCTCTTCTTACTTGTGCTTAGTAGGGAATGAGGGAATGATCCACAATAACTATCAATAATGATCCCATTCCCCCATTCCCATCCATTCCCTACTAAGCACCAGTAAGTCTTGATGGACGCACCAAGAGCTGGTCCTTCTTCTCCATATATCTGTACAAAGAGGCGCTCTGTGGCACATCGATGGTTTGCATGGAGATGTAATGCCTGGGAAAGCACTGGGAGATCCTGGGTAATGTTGGTAAAACAATAATAAACCACCCATTTGGGAATGGTTTATAGAACCTATTTATGGTGAAATTGGGGATGGTTTATTATTGTTTTAACATGTTTTAACCACATTAATGGAATTGAATGCGGTATAAATGGGATGTTGGTGGAATGTTTAATGGACAATTACTGGGAGGCCGTGCGCGGGCCAAGTTCCAAAGTCACGTTTTTGGCCGTTTTGACGTGGGCGTGCAAAGGGTGCTTCCAAGGTTAGGGTTCAAACTATCCCACCCCCACTGCACACCCTTCATACCAATGGAAGCCTTTGCCACACCCATATCATACACAAAACCATACCTGCGGTTTTTAGCCCTCCACCCGTCCAGGTAGGCGAGCACAGCTTCGCCCGGGCGAAGGGTGCAGATGGGGAAGCCCTGCACCGGCCACGTTCCAAAGTCGCGTCTCGTGGTTGAGCGGTCCGCCAAGGCCGTGTGCGGCGATGACTTCCCGAATCCCATGCCAGTGAGGTTACAGTGACAAACAAAGGGACATCACTCCCAACCTCTCGACATTTCTGTGATATGGCTCTGGAACAAAAATATGGCACCCCTATGATGAGGGGTCCAACAATATGGATTCATTAAGGGTGTATGAAGCACCAACAACTACTGGTTGGTGGTATACCTACCCCTCTGAAACATATGAAAGTCAGTTGGGATGATTATTCCCAATATATGGAAAGTCATAAAATTCATGTTCCAAACCACCAACCAGACTACGATTAAAAGGGCTCACCATCTGTTTGTATTTCTGTGACATCAGTTGGTCTTGTGAGACCTGGGAATGTGGTAAACTCATGTAAACTCCAGAATAAACCTATCATTTGATGATGGTTTTTACGAACCATTTATCGTGATATTCGGAATGGCTTTCTTTGTTGGGTTTACATGGGTGCAAACAAACTACATTCACATCCAGTGTACAAAATCAAACAATCCCAAATAAAATTGCACTTCTGGTTGGTGGTTTCAACCCCTCTGAAAAATATGAAAGTCAGTTGGGATGATTATTCCCAATATATGGAAACATAAAAAATGTTCCAAACCACCAACCAGACTTTGTTTGTATTTCTTGGATGTGCTTAAGAGGTCAAAAACCATTGAAACATACCCTACTAGTTTTGTAGATTTCCCCGGTCTGGTGGATTAACCGAGGCGAAAATCAAACCCGTTTTGTTGGACAAACTAAGGCGGAGCAACTTGGATTTGAAAGAATTATTAATTTCAACTCAGCATCAATCCTTCAAATAAGTAGATCAAAATGATCAAAAGATGAAGGCCAGCAGTGTCCAACTCCTGTTCTGAAGAGGTATATATTATTAGTTTTCCCCACAACACCAGCAACGATAAGACCAGAGTCAACTTGGATGTTTTTTTGCGATCCCAAAATTGGGATGGAAAATGATGGAAAGGTCGTTGAACTCCAGCCTTTTCTGAGATGAAAGAACCAACCCACTATCTTCAGTAATTCGCTTTTCATGGTTTTGTCCAAAAGTGAGAAGATATGCCAATCACCAAGGTGGGTGCCCTCCGGTGAAATGTTTGTTGCTGACTTTAAAAACCCAGCAACATAATTATATAATAGTTATCATAAACCACTGTTGTAAATAGGTATGATTATACTTAGACCAACCAAGCTATACGTATTGAGAATATAAACCATTATGTATAGCTAGAAGCATCATAAACCCCAAAGTTTTTGGAGTTATTGTAAGCACCAACTTAGCTCTATATCGTTTTGCTGGCGGCCCCACTTTGCATGAATATGGTCCCTTAATGTCCCTTAGATGTTGATATCTTCCGTTTTTGGCATATGTTTGCTGAAAATTACTTAAGCATCTTAAAGTCAAGGTCTACCCACACATACACGTGGATAATTGGATAGGACAACTCTTTGAGTTTGTCAATTTGCTACTGTACCCAAGAATTCCTATAAGAAATCCGTGTTGGTTTATGACCATGTTACCCATTAAAATGGCGAAGGCAAGCCATTTACAGATACACAACTGGCCTCGTTCCGGGTCCGATAGACATCTATAGATATTTATAGATATCTATAGTCTATAGATATCACTCCAACTATTTGATGGTTCGGAAACTCTAAGTAGCTCCTTGGCTCCCCATTGAATAGATTGAATAGGGAATATTTTTGGGGTGTTTTAATACCCATAGCTCCCACTCGCTCCCTCCTAACCACTGGACCAAGGATTTTTTTTCCAAGGGACAAACAAAAGATCTTAGATCCTTTGAAGCCCACCACAAAGCCTGTCTGAACGGCGGGCTTCACGCCGGGGACGGCTGTCTGAACAAATCATTGTCCCATAACGAACTGGAAAGATCCAGCATTTTTAACGGGTAAATCAACTATAAATGGTAAATATGCCATAGCAGCCAATAATGTCCTTTTGGTAAAAATAGGAAACTGGGCCGGGAGCTGGTTAATCCCATCTATCATCAAACAAACCTGTTGTTAAAGGGGTAAACCTGAAGAAACCACTCTTTTTTCATCAACCAACCAATGGGAAAAGGACATCAATGGTCTGAACCATTTGACTTTTTCATACTTTTTGTGCATGACAGAAAACGGTTTTCGCTGATTGATGGTTGACGGTTTTCGCGGATGGTTGTGGCCTCGATGTCCAAAGCTGTCAATGGATTGGTTTAAGGGTAATTGTATAGGAAACCCCGATATTTAATGGTGGAAACTGTAAAAACCATGGTTTCCTGTAAATTGTTGCCTTAAACCAATCCAATGGGTCATTCAAACGTGCCAAACGTGCCTGCCACGTGCGTCTTCTTTTGATTGTTTCATGCAGAAAATGGTGCCGCAGAAATGACCATTAGAAAATTCCATGGCTTCATGGGAATTTAGCTGGTTGGGATTACATTCCATCATGCATGGACTTCCACAAAAAACATATTCCAAATAGAAACATTTTTTATACTGGTTGGTGGTCTTAACATGTCTTAACCATCTTGAAAAATATGAAAGTCAATGGGACGTTGAGCCTACCCCTCTGAAAAATGATGGAGTGAGTAACAGTTGGGGTTACGAACTTCCCAATATATGGAACAATAAAAGCCATGTTCCAAACCACCAACCAGATTTTTATATGTCATTGTATGGGTGTCTGAAATTGGGGTATACATCAGTTGGTTAGTTGACTTACCCTCTGGGAAATGTTCACAGTTCGACCCTGAAAATCACCATTTCTTAGTTGAAACTAATCTGAACCAACCCCGATGACTGCCAGGGTCGTCATGTTAATTCAACAGAAGGTAAGACCTTCAACCAGTATTATATGATTTATATGTTTCCTTACTTTTTGTTGGCACACAGGTTCAACCCCCACACCTTTTGATTCACACGTGGTTCCCCTCTTACCCTCCGGTAAGCTAACACAGCTATGCAAAATCGTCATTTTTAGTAGGTAATTCCTCATAAATCATCTATAAATGAGCCATTTCCAACAGCAAACTGTTAAATAACCAAAGGGTAAGTCAACCTCCAAGCTTCCACCTCTCCGTGATAGGCGCACCTTGAAGCTTCTGCATGTGCGGTGGAAAACTGCCCGTCTTGATGCACAGCATGTTGCTCCCACTGTATGCCAACATGTCCTGACTGGTGCGAAAATGCTGGTGCACTAGTGGCTCTTTGAAAACATCGTGTGTTTTTGGGGGAATGGTCCTGGGTAAATTCATATGTCATCATCCCAACATTGGACATCAAAAAAATAGTTCAATCATATCATGTTTCACCAGCCTGAAATCAGGTTACCCTCTGGTAATTTAACATAACTATTGAAAATCACCATTTTTAATGGGAAAATCCACTATAAATGGCCATTTTCAATAGCTATGTTAAATTACCAGAGGTTATTTGGGGATGGTTCCCCTTGCTCATCATCCTTCGCGTCATGATAAAAATACGCGCCGTGCCGTTGTTCGACTTCCGCCGTCATGGTTGATGTTCCCAAACATATATAGACAAACTACATTACAGTGGATTTTTGTTACGATTTGAAGTATTATACAATGTGAGGCCCCCAAGATAGCTAAGTTGGTTTATAACTCCAATAACTATGGTTTATGGTACTTATAACTATAGTTACTGGGGCTTATAAACCAACTTATAACTGGGGGGCCTCACATTGTATATGTATATATATATATGGCAGTGTGTCAAAACCTTGTACCCCTGTAGTTCACATCAAAATAGCTGGGATTCATGGATGTTCATCCCACTAAAAATGGTATTAATAGGTATTGATCCATACCCATATATATATATATATATTGTGTTTCTGTTCAAAGTAAACATTGAAGTAAACAAGCCTCTTATTCAAATTCCATTCAGGACATCCTTAGAATATCTTAGAATTATGACTTTTGGAAACCCATGGTTTCTTCCAATTTTTCATCCGGAAAACATGTGGAGAAACATGCCGTCCTCCATCTCCGTGTTCCACGCGACACTATTGGCATTGGGTTCCTCCGGGCGGGATGATACCCTCATGAATCGGTGAAATCCCAAGTATCTGACGGTGAAATACTGGTTGAATCAGAATCAACATCAACAAAGCACCACTAGAATGGTTAAAACACGTGGCCAAGAATTCTTAGGTACCCTGTAAAGGGTTAATTTTGGTTGCTGGCGTATTTCATGCTCCCATTCATGGCCAATTATGATATAAAGTCTTTGACTACCCATCCAGCAAATGACGTGTTTGGTATTTGGTGTCTGGCGCATCTCACTTTTCAACCCAAATACAGGTAAAATACATTGAAATTGCAGAGCCTCCTGTAAAATGAACCTTTAGGGGGATGTAAACTGATACCCGATTCAGAGCCATATCCCACTGAATCCCACTATCCATTTACATCCATTTACTACTTGTAGGTGCAGTTCCAGGTTTAAGTGGATATATAACCATAGTTGTAGGGGACATATCTCCATTTAGTCACTATGTCACCGGATTTTTTTTCCACCCCAACTGCACAGTTGGTTTCACCTTGCTCGCTCCGGGCCTGGTATAACAACTGCTGTGTGTCCAAGTCGTACCTGGTGGTGTTGCCACAGCGCGACTATGAACCTACTGTAGCGGAAATGAATCATAGCAATAGGAAATTTGCTGTAAATAGCTTGGAAAATCATCGATTTTCTCTGATTTTCTCTGATTTTCCAGCTGATTATCTCTGATTATCTCTGATTTTCCAGCCATCCATGGAGCTAATTACCAAAGGGCACCTTGGATTCATTGATTTTGAGATGGGGATGGGTTGGAAGCAGCCAGAGGATCAAGTTGATCAAGTTGCAGAGACTAATCAGTGGTCATGGCTAGAAGATCACCAAGCGTAGACACTCCTCTAAAACAATGTCATCTACCCTCTGGTAAACTGTCCCATACCTATGGAAAGATCCACCATTTTTAATGGGTAAATCAACGAACTAAATGGCAATTTTCAATAGCTACGTTTGTTTACCAGAGGGTATCCTTGGAGATCAACAAAAGAAGGCATTGGTAGCAATTCATTCTCATTCGTTGAACCACATCACTGAAGAACATTCTGATTTAGAATGATGTACAAATCAAATGATATAGACACTAATGATAAAGGCACTACTCATCCATAATTCCCAAGTTAGAAATAGTTACTGTGGTGAAAAACAACGACAAACAATTGCCACATTTACTTTTGTTTACACCCCAAGAAACAGAACAAACAATAATTTGATATACTTAAGATCAATTCAGAATGATAACGTGAGGGTTAAGGGTTTATTTTTGGGTCTCAAAGAGGTATAGAGATATTTCAGATATCCCAATTGAGCATCAATAACTACTTCCCCAACTCAAATAAAACCACCAAATCGTAGCCATAAACATTATTCAGTTACGCCATTCAATGTGTATTCAATAGGCATTATTCACATAGCCAATCATATTATGAATAATGTGGCGAAAATAATAATAATAATACTGATAATAATAATAATATGAATATGATTTGGCGCAATGTGTATCCAATTATTATTCAGTTACGCGCAGTCAATGTGTATTTTCTCCATCAATGATTGTATCCCCAATGATTTCCCAGCTAGTCACTACTTGGAAGATCGTCCATCACACTAAGGAACTGGTTTTTAAGCCTGGCTTAACCTGGAGTATCACTTTGAACGTTAACTAGTTGCTAAGTGACTTGTTACGCATATAACCTTGAGAGTATTCACATATGACATATAGATGGTAAACAAAACTGATTATACATAGTAATTTTGCTTATCAATCACAAGCTAGACTTGGGGATTACTGTCTATAATTACCTGGTTGGTGGTTTTCCGCCACCCCTCTGAAAAATGATGGAGTGAAAGTCAGTTGGGATTATGACATTCCCAATATATGGAAAGTCATAATCCAGCCATGTTCCAGTCACCACCAACCAGTTTTGCCATTATCCCTTGAAATTCCAATGATTTTGATGACATAAAGCCCCAAATTTGGTTGATGAAATTGCTGAAGATAGTAGATTCAGTAGATCCTCTCCCAAAAGGTTTCTTCTTCGCCACAGTCTCTGGAGAGGGAAATTTTCTGGGACCAGGAAATCGCTGATTTCTGGCTTCTCCATGCTCCCATGGTCAGGGCTATGTTTCCAAAGTCGGCGGGATCCTGCACAACTCTGGGGAATTTCAACCAAAAAACTCAGTGCGTCATTCAAAGCTATAGGCAAAATATAAGGGTTACACCAGCAGCAAAGTTATAGTCAATGGGAATAAAACAGGATCCTAAAAGGGAGGTAATGTACCATATAAGGCCATATTTTGCTGGGATATTCCCTTACATAGGCCTTATATACGGTAGGTACCTCCAATCAATCGGTTCCTGAAATGGCCATCGATATAGGGTTGAAGATGATTTAGCCCATTTACAACGGAAACACATGTTCATCAAAAATGGAGTTGCCCTTCGGTAATCAAACCTGGCAATGGTAGAATCAATCGCTTAGCTCGATGATCTAACCCACATAATTTTGCAAGATTTCCTGCTACGGTGGGAAATCCACTATAAATTCACTATAAATGGATTTATAGTGGACTTCCCATTTATCCATTTGCGATTTTAAATCTAACTATAACTGGTTGGTGGTTGAGCCCTACCCCCCTGAAAAACATTAGTCAGATTGGATCATCATCCCAATCTGTTGGGGAAAATAAAATTCATGTTCCAAACCACCAACCAGATATGTTCCACATATGTCTATAGAAAAAAACATATCCAAATTCCGGATTCTAAAAAACCCAATTTATACGTGGATTTGCATCGATTTCCCAACTGTTCCATATGGGGCATGCCCCATTTTACAACAAAACCTGCGCACACGAGCAGGTTGGAGGTCTCGTCAACGACGGCCAATTTCTTCCGCCTGGAACCCCAAAAAAAAACACGGCGAACCTGGAAATATGAGGTAAATAGATATGTAAATACCATCTGGGTATGTCTGAAAATGGGGTATACCCCCAATTATAGCCATTTAGTAGGGATAATGATCATTAACCATTGGGTGTAGGGGTACACTATTTTCAGACACACCCAACCCTCTGGTTATGCCTAACAGTTTGCGACATTGAACATGGCCCAGTCGAAATAGTTGATTTACCCAGCTATAAAATGGTGGATCTTTTCATAGTTATTTTGGACAGCTTACCAGAGGGTAACTCTCCATCCTGGACATGTTCAGTCTTTTCGGGGATTACTACGTGGTTATCCTAGAGTAGATGGAATGTAGAATTTTGAAAAAAAACCTCACATGAAAATCCCATATGCTGACCCACTTCAGGATGATAAAAACAGAGAATTGTAAAATACAACTAGGGTTTGACTGTTCTATTTTTTTGGAGGTTGCTCTACATACATGTAAACATATGTAGACCCCAAAAAACTAGACATGTAACATCCAATGAAACCCTAGTGCATGGTAGTTGATTTATATCTGCAATGTGAGGCCCCCAAGATAGCTAAGTTGGTTTATAACTCCAATAACTATGGTTTATGGTACTTATAACTATAGTTACTGGGGTTTATAAACCAACTTATATCTGGGGGGCCTCACATTGTGGATAAATTTTCATATGGATAAATTTTCATATTTCATCAGCCTGAGATAAAGCAGTTTGGGGATAGTCATCCCTACGAATCATTTTTATCGACATTCCAATGACGCGGCGTGAGGTCGTGATAAGTTATCCAGATACAAACCACAAAACGATAGAACAGTCAAATCTTACCCCATAGGATCCATGGTGCTGGTATATATGCTAACATGACTGGGGTATATTGATGGGATCCATGTTACCATATATAGCATACATGGATCCTATGGGTACTGAAACAGAGGTAAATCATTTTGCCATTTTTTTTGGGGGGGTACTCTAACGGATACAGTATATTCTGCATAAACAGAAACTCATAGAAATACATACCAACAAGTGGGAAAATAAATCTGTATCTATATGGCTGAATTTAATCAGAACTGAATCTCAGTATACAATCGATAACCAGTACGCATGGGGTTGGTTACAAACAAGAAGAAATGACATATTTGTCCGGTTGAAATTCATCACAATTCGCCTAAAAGGTTCTTCCATTCGGGATGAATCCAGCCAAATGAATGGGTTGTCAGAGTTGCTCCTACATTACTCAGAAAAAAAAACAAGATGCAGCCGACGAACCCGAATGCTCACACGTATGTTAATGGCACAGATGTCGAAACACATGGATATGCAGTCACGCAGAACACTTTTCTGCAATAGTTTATTGGAACAGTCTTGTACATATTTCCTCTGTTACCAGTCTGCAGTGTGGAGTGGAAAGTGTAGAGTGTGGAATTGGATGGGAAAGTGTAGAGTGTGGAGTGTAAAGTATGGAGTGTAGAGTGTGGAGTGTGGAGTGTAGAGTAAGGAGTGTGGAGAGTGGAGTGTAAAGTGTGGAGTGAGGAGTGTACAGTGTAAAGTGTTCAGTGTGGAGTGTAGACTGTAAAGTGTGGAGTGTGAAGTGTAGAGTGTAAAGTGTAGAGTGTAAAGTGTGGAGTGAGGAGTGTAAAATGCAAAGTGTGGAGTGAGGAGTGAAAAATGTAAAGTGTAGAGTGTGGAGTGTAAAGTGTAGAGTGTGGAGTGGAAAGTGTAGAGTGTGGAGTGTGGCGTGTAAAGTAAGGAGTGTGCAGTGTAAAGTGTGGAGTGGGGAGTCTGTAGCGTGTGTAAAGTGTGGAGTGTGGAGTGTAGAGTGCGGAGTGTGGAGTTTCGAGTGTGTAAAGTGTAGAATGTGTGGAGTGTGGAGTGAGGAGTGTGGTGTGTGTAGCGTGTAGTAGAGTGTAGAGGAGTGAGGAGTGTAAAGTGTGGAGTGTGGAGTGTAAAGTGTGGAGTGTAAAGTGTACAGTGCGGAGTGTGGAGTGTAGATTGTGGAGTGTGGAGTGTGGAGTGTAAAGTATAGAGTGTGGAGTGTGGAGAGAGGAGTGTAAAGTGTAAAGTGTGGAGTGTAAAATGTAGTGTGTAAAGTGTAGAGTGTGGAGTGTGGAGTGTAGAGTGTGGAGAGCGGAGTGTAAAGTGTGGAGTGAGGAGTGTAAAGTGTAGAGTGTGGAGTTTGGAGTGTGGAGTGGAAAGTGTAGAGTGTGGAGTGTGGAGTGGAAAGTGTAGAGTGTTGAGTGTGGAGTGTAAAGTAAGGAGTGTGCAGTGTAAAGTGTGGAGTGGGGAGTGTAGAGTGCGTAAAGTGTAGAGTGTGGAGTGTAAAGTGTGGAGCGTAAAGTATGGAGTGTAGAGTGTGGAGTGTGGATTTTAGAGTAAGGACTGTGGAGTGAGGAGTGTAAAGTGTGGAGTGAGGAGTGTATAGTGTAAATTGTGAAGTGTGGAGTGTAGAGTGTAGAGTATAAAGTGTGGAGTGTAAAGTGTAGAGTGTAGAGTGCAGAGTGTAAAGTGGAAAGTGTGGAGTGTGGAGGGCAAAGTGTGGAGTGAGGAGTGTAAAATGTAAAGTGTGGAGTGTGAAGTGAAAAATGTAAAGTGTAGAATGTGGAGTGGAAAGTGTGGAGTGTGGAGTGTGAAGTGTAAAGTAAGGGGTGTGGAGTGTAAAGTGTGCAGTGGGGAGTGTAGAGTGTATAACGTGTAGAGTGTGGAGTGTAGAGTGTAGAGTGTAGACTGTAAAGTGTAGAGTGTGGAGTGCGGAGTGTAAAGTGTTGAGTGTGGAGTGTAGAGTGTGGAGTGTGGAGTCTGGAGTGTAAAGTGTAGAGTGTGGAGTGTGGAGTGAGGAGTGGAAAATGTAAAGTGTGGAGTTTAAAATGTAAAGTTTGGAGTGTAAAGTGTAGAGTGTAAAGTGTAGAGTGTGGAGTGTGGAGTGTAGAGTGTGGAGAGTGGAGTGTAAAGTGTGGAGTGAGGAATGTAAAGTGTAGAGCGTGGAGTGTGGATTGTAAAGTGTAAAGTGTAGAGTGTAAAGTGTAAAGTGTAGAGTGTAAAGTTGGAATGTCACAAAGTGCCACGCCTGCCACGCAAAGCGACATGACAACCTGCTTGGAAACTTTCGAAAAGGAGATGTTTTGCAGCTTCCCCTACAGACACGGCGACGTGTCTAGAAAACCAGAGATTCTTTCGGCACGTTATCAAACAGGTTGGAATGTCACGAAGTGCCACACCTGCCACGCAAAACGACATGACAACCTGCTTGGAAACCTTCGAAAAAGAGATGTTTTGCAGCTTCCCCCATAGACACGGCGACGCCACAGGAGAACCAGCGACTCGAGACAAGACACGTGGATGCAGAAAAACCAGCATTTCGTACGAGACTTCCTCCAATTTTCACAGTTGGCAACATGACAAAAGGACAAGTTTTGCAGCTTCCCCCATTGACACGGCGAGGCCACAGGAAAACCAAAGACCCGAGACAGGTGGGAGCACCAAAACGAGCATTTCGTGCGAGACTTCCTCCAATTTTCAAACTTTGTAGCTTCAAAATCAACGTTTTCCTACGAGTTTTCCTTAGAACCTGAAAATTTGCAACCTCAAATCGATGTTTCGTGCGAGGCTTTTCCGTCAATTTTCAGCACATCGCAAAAAATGCCACGCCTGCCACGGAATTTGCACCTTGTCGCCACTTGATGCAGCCCTGCCAATGCGATTTGCAATAAGCACGCAACACGACACGTCTAAAGTGCTGCGCCTGCCACGCAAAATGACGATGGACATGTCCAAAGTGTTGCACCTGCCACGAAAAATGCAACACATCTTCTGAAAACGTCGCAAAAGTATTGCGCCTGCCACACAAAACGACTTTCGACACGTTACAAAACACGCCGAAGTGCCACGCCTGCCACGCGAAACGAAGCAACGAGACGTTTGAAACATCCAAAAAGGACCACCTCTGCAGAACTTACCATAGGCACGGCCATACGGTCCTCACACGAACGGTTGCGAACGGTTGCGAACGGTTGCGAACGGTTGCGAGCGGTTGCGACCACAAACGCAACGTCGAGCGAACACACCCTCAACCCCCAGACCCCCAGAGTGAAACGGGAACCCTTGCTACGCATTCGGGAACAAGTAAAAAGCAAAAATTATTTTTCTCGCCAATTCTTAATCTACCTAGGACCTAGGTACTCCAACCCTGATTTTTACTGGGAAAAATCTAGACTTAGTCCACTACTGGAGGCCGATGCCTCTGGTGAACCACAGCTAGGGTCATTTTATCTCAACCATTGTCCTTTTCAAGGGGTTGAAAGATGTTGAAAGTTCTTGAACCCAATTAAGACGATATTATTGAAGATGTTTCAGCCTAGTATTAGTAAGTCTTGTTCCTCTGCTGTCTCTTGAGGGTTCTGTTCTTCCATGTCAGTTTTCAGTCAAAAATACGCTCGTGTAACCCAACTATACTTTTAGTTAGTAAATCTTCCTATGATGAATTCTGTCAGAGTCCCCAATAAGCCAGTTAGTACAGCCCCCCTACCCATCAACCCATCAACATTCCTCATCAATCAACAATCATTTAATATCTATAAGTTATAATTCACTTACCCTCTGGTAAACTAACATAGCTATTAAATCTTTGAACCGAACCAAGTAGCAGGTCAGCTGGTAGAAGAGCCCCGGCTCGGGTGTGTCAGACGAAGTAACCGCCCAAGCATAGATTGACATAAACGTCTGCGGAATGACAGCCATTCCGACAGACCGCTTGGACCCAAGCAAGGCCATGAGTGACGCCAGGCAGGTCGCAGGGTTGCCTCATTATGCAATGGAGAAAGAGCAAAACATATACGTTCTTTACCAGTAGTACCGCACAAGGCGGTGGCGGAAGTTTCAAAAATAGAAAACCTATAGGAGAGGTTGGTTGTTGTGAATCACGGATGGCAGAGCGCAGCCACTGATGGAAAGGTGCTTTTGAGGTCTCCTCTTTTTTTTTCTATCTCTCTCTCTCTCTCTTTTTCTCTCTGTTTCTCTATCTTTCTCTGATTATCTACCTACCTACCTACTGATCTATCTGTCTACCTATCTATCTGTCTACCTACCTATCTATCTAGCTGTCTAATTTTCTAGCTATTTATCTATCTGTCTGTCTATCTATCTATCTCCCTATCTATCTCCCTATCTATCTATCTATCTATCTACCTACCTATCTAGCTGTCTAATTTTCTAGCTATTTGTCTATCTATCTATCTATCTATCTATCTATCTATCTATCTATCTATCTATCTATCTATCTATCTATCTATCTATCTATCTATCTATCTATCTATCTATCTATCTATCTATCTATCTATCTATCTATCTATCTATTATCTATCTATCTATCTATCTATCTATCTATCTATCTATCTATCTATCTATCTATCTATCTATCTATCTATCTATCTATCTATCTATCTATCTATCTATCTTATCTATCTTATCTATCTATCTATCTATCTATCTATCTCTCTATCTCTCTATCTCTCTATCTATCTATCTATCTGTCTATCTGTCTGTCTGTCTGTCTGTCTATCTATCTATCTATCTATCTATCTATCATCCATGTGTAAATTAGGGGGTGGAACCTGGGTAGCTGCCATTTTATAATGCTAAATGGTTTGTCAGGGGGGTACTCCCTCTATAAAGTACTCCTTGGGGTACACTTGTAAAATCACAGGCCTATAAACTGGAAGGTACCCAGGTTTCATTTTTGCAAACCACACTTCTCAGCAAGGCACCGAAATCATCTCTATAAAATGCTCCTTGCCCAAGCCAGTCGCAAAAACCATTTTCCAGCTTGATGGAACTTATGCATTTCATTGCATTTCATTGCATTTCTGTCTCTGGTTGGATTCTATTTTATAGAGGTGAAAGTGGCAAATCACAAGTCTGCAGCAGGCTCCAGCCAATTTTTCTTCCCGTGTTCTCAGGCTGTATATATCCCACTTCTCTGTCTATAAAATGGAAATTTGTTGGCTGGACTGCTGCCAAACCCTACATATCTCTACATAATGGATTTACTTTTTGGATCATCCTTTATTCTGTTGGATTCTTTTCAACTGGATTTGGCTGTCTACCCTGGCATTTCCCTGATCTCTCCCCGTCTAAGGCTACCTGCCCAAGAACCGTTCCCTTCAGATCCAGTTTTCTATTCTATAGTGGTCCTGGTTGAAAAGAGAGGTTCTTCTACCATTTTATAAAGACATATAGTGCAGTTTTGAGCTTGCTGGCATTGCTGCAACGGACAGCATACCGCTTTATACCGCTGCAATCAAATTGTGTTGATACATGTTGATACAGAACCTTGAAAAAAACAATGCAAACGGGCACTCTATAAAGTGGAAGTTCAGCCACACCACACATGGAAACACCCTATCTATAAAATAGCACCACAACATTGCACAGCCAACATTGTGCTATAAAGTGGAGGCCTGTGTCACCCCTACTAAATGAACAGCTTTCCTGCAGTAAGACCCCAAGTGGCCTCTATAAAGTAGTACTTGCCCAAAAAGAAAATAGAAACCATATCCTGATAAAACATTCAAAAACCACTCCAAACATTTTTTCCATTTTATAGTGCCTAAAAAGATGGTTTAGCAGGGTACCCGGGTACGACCATTTTATACAGGACATGGCCACCAGGATTATCTATCTATCTATCTATCTATCCATCTATCTATCTATCTATCTATCTGTGTATCTGTCTACCTGTCTATCTGTGGTGCAGTGTCATTCAGTGTAATGTAGTGTAGTGTAATGTAGTGTAGTGTAGTGTGGTGGAATGTAGTGTAATGTAGTGTAATGTAGTAGTGTAGTGTTGTGGAGTGTAGTGTAGTGTAATGTAGTGAAGTGTAGTGGAAGGTAGTGTCGTGTAGTGTAATGTAGTGTAATGTATTGGAGTGTAGTGTGGTGTAGTGGTGGTTGTAATTGAAAATGCTTCAAAACCCTCACGTTTTTTCTCACTTTTGACAAGGTGCACAATCCCTTGCGCCTGCCACGCGAAGCGACATCTGAACCTCCAAAAGTGGTCCAAACCCCTGGTGTGTTTAACATTTTGACTTCGAAATGTGCTTCGCGCCACAACAGCGTGCACTTTTTCGACATCTGAACTTCCAAAAGTGGTCCGAACCCCTGGTGTTTTTAACATTTTGGCTTGGAAATGTGCTTCGCGCCACAATTTTTCGACATCTCAACTTCCAAGTGGTCTGAACATGGTGTGTTTTGTACATTTTGACTTCGAAATGTGCTTGGCACCACAACGGCGTGCACTTTTTCGACATCGCAACTTCCAAAAGTGGTCCGAACCTGGTGTGTTTTGTACATTTTGACTTCGAAATGTGCTTGGCGCCACAACGGTGTGCACTTTTTCGACATCGCAACTTCCAAAAGTGGTCCGGACCTGGTGTGTTTTGTACATTTTGACTTTGAAATCTGCTTCGCGCCACAACGGCGTGCAATTTCTCATCTCTCCTCTGGCCAGCTGGCTCCGCACCCGCCGCTTTAGCGAGCCTACTTTTCGACCCTCCGGAGCCTCAAATCATTGGAAAAACACAGTGTTTCGCGACTTTCCTACCTTTTCGCGCATCTGCATCTTCTTTCTTCTGACTCTTTCTCTTCTACTCTTCTCTCTTCTAATCTTTCTCTTCTCTCTGCCTCTGCCCTACTCTGCTTTTCATCTGTCCATATTGTCGGAAGTTTGACTTCTAAACTTCCTTCGATGAAAAATAACCATTTGGAATAGGTAAATCAACTGTTAATGAGCCATTTTCAATAGCAAACTGTTAAATTACCAGATGGTAAATTGCCATGGTCAAGTTACATGGCTAAAATTAATGTGGCAAAAATTGTCATCCCCCAGTATATTGTATTAAATTCCCATGAAAATTCCATGGAAATCTCCCCATGTTGATGGTTTTTCAACCCTGTAAACAGTGGTGAAATCAGTTGATCCCCACCCATTTCATCCGTCCTGCAGGAGAGGTCCAAACATCTCACTGCCGTTGCCTTCAGAGGAAGGCCACAGCGCTAGGGAAACCGCGCTGGGGATTAGTCTTCGTTCATGGGAAAATCTACAATGTGAGGCCCTCAAGATAGCTAAGTTGGTGCAAATAACTCCAATAACTATGGTTTATGGTACGCAAATAACTATAGTTACTGGAGCTTATAAACCAACTTAAAACTGGGGGGCCTCACATTGTACCATAAAGGAAGGCTTTTTTCTGAGACGATCCACTATAGTTGGGGAGGTTTGAGTTGGAAAATCCACTACACTCATGTGGTAAATGGGAACATCAATCTCTCTCTCTATTTATATATATATATATATAATATAGTTCTTTTCAATGGCCGCGTGTTCAATCCCTAAGGGAACCATTGTATCCCAGCTGGGTGTGAAATGGGTGGTTTACCCTCTGCAACTCCGACATGGCAACCGGATATCCCCTACATATTATATTATTTATTTGTCTGGATGGTGGTTGACCTACCCCTCTGAAAATATGAGTTCCCAATATCTGGAAAAATAAAAGCCATGTTCCAAACCACCAACCAGTTGTATATACATTCATATATACATATATATAACTATATATATATATATAATTATCCTATAATATCCTATCTATAAATGGGCATTTTTTAATGGACAAATCTGTTCCATTGCCATCTTTGATTTCATCAATCCTTCCGGCAATTCGATGATCATCCGCCATCAAAACGGCTGCTTCCTCTGCCGGATATCATCACACAGATATTGCTGGCTTGTAACCATATAGAATACAATACCCATAGGATCCATGGTGCTGGTATATATGCTAACATGACTGGGGTATATTGATGGGATCCATGGAGCACCATATATAGCAGCACCATGGATCCTATGGGATATAGTATCTATATAGAATATCTATGTTTGTAACAATATTTCACCACATATAATATTTAATAGTATCATATTATACACCTACATCTTCCGCAATGTGCATAATTTCTGCCTTTTGAGGCTGTTCTGCCTTTTAGTAAAAGAGCAAAAACAACGCATACCTGGAAGATCCAGGTATAGTTGTACCATGTGAGCCATTAAAAATACCCCTATCCCATCTCATTATACTAGTTGGTTGAAAACGGTTTCCCTACTAAGGCTTATCATAATCCCCAGTAAACCAGGTAGTATAATCCCCTATAGCAATCAATTAACCAGGCTATTTTTAATGGCTCATGTTACAAGCGTCGTAGCCGCATGAATATCTGGGACAACCCACTCCGGATACCCCCGAATCGAGGCAAAATCCGATCAGTCTACTGTCATTGCTAGTCACGATATAACTGGGATGGTCGGTTGGTCAATTGTTAGTGGTATCCCTGTTATGCAGGTTGGTGGTATACCTACAGGATGGGGCCCCCCAGTTATAAGTTGGTTTATAAACCATTACAAGCACCATTAACTATAGTTATATCTACCATAAACCATAGTTAAACCACTTATAAGGCAACTTAGCTATCTTGGGGGCCCCATCCTGTACCCCTCTGAAAAATATGAGTCAGTTGGGATTATTATTCCTAAGATATGGAAAACATAATCCAAATGATCCAACCCACCAACCAGTTGTGGTATCCCTGGGCACATCATAATTCCCAAATTAGGTAGGATCCCCTGGGGTAAACTAACATAGATGTGCATGAAAACCGGGGCCCATTTATGGATAATTTACCATAATTTACCTGTAGAAAATGGTGATTTTCTACATCTATATGTTAGTTTATACAGGCTGTACATGGCTGTACAGGATGCTAACCCCCAACAAACACCCAAAAAAACGTTGACAAAAGGTGTTTTTCAAGGCTCAAGTGGACCCACCCAGAGACCGAAAACCGCCCTGCTGAAATAAAGAGACACCTGCTTGATGAGGGTCACTGGGAAGGCATTGTCTACAAAGATCTTCCTGGCGACGGGTTCCGGGAACTGTTCCAGGATACCATACATATTGGGGCCCCCGTTCGATAGCTAAGTTGGTTTATACCTCCAATAACTATGGTTTATGGCACCTATAACTATAGTTAATGGGGTTTATAAACCATTTTATAACTGGGGGGCCCCACATTGTACAAGGTGGTGCCCCTTAGTTAGCTAACTTGGTGAACATAACTCCAATAACGTTGGGGTTTACGGAGGATATAACGAACTAGTTACTATGGTTTATAAACACACTTATAACTGGGGGGGCACCACCTTGTAGTTCTGGGAAAACAATGTAATAATTCATCAATATTACAATCAATCCCAATAACTCAATAACTTGTTAGTAGCCACAGATATAGTCCATTTAATATCCATTTATAGATGGGAGAACCCACTTAGGGGACTTATTATCTGGGAAAATACTACAATTCACTGACCTGAAAAGTTCGGTTATTTTGGGATACTTAGCCCCAAAAATTTCCTATCATTCCAATGAACTCGCAATGTGGTTGCTATAATTTACCCAAATAGCTGTAACTTCAAAGATCCAGGATGGGGCCCCCAAGATAGCTAAGTTGCCTTATAAGTGGCTGAATTCTATGGTTTATGGTATATATAACTATAGTTAGTGGTGGTTATAATTTGGGCTCTGCCTCGTGACACTAACAGTGACCACAATTCATACCACAAAAAAAAGCACAAAAAAAATCAGGTTGTAGTCCCCAATATGACTTTCATTTCCCCTTATTAAGGCTAGATGACCAGGCATATTCCCTGCAAGTTGGCTCCACGGTCGGCACATTTTCTTGCCATGCCCAGAAGTCGTTGCTGTCAAAATTCGACATTGGCATTTCCAATGGGATGCCTCATGCATCCAGCTTGTCAGCACCTTGTGGGTAGTGATGCTGCTGATTGCAAAGCAATATTGTTTAGGGTTTTGGATGCTGCCCATTGCAGCGATGATGGCAAAGCAATACTGTTTAGGGTTTCGGATGCTGCCCATTGCAGCGCTGATGGCGAAGCAACACTGGTTAGGGTTTAGGATGCTGCCCACCACAATGCCGATGGCAAAGTAATGCTGTTAGGGTTTAGAAACTTGCCCATCGCAGCGCCGATAGCAAAACAATAGAATGTGTGTGTACAATACATATAAAGGCCGGGGCTGCTGGACTGACCCTGGGCAAGGGTTGGGGGCTGAGCCTGGGGGCTGAGCCTGGGAGCTCTGGGGGACTAGAGGCCTGGCGGGCTGGCTGGCTGAGGGGGGGGCTGGAGCTGGGCCGGGCTGGCCAATTGAAAATGCTTTAAAAGCAGCGACTTTCCAGAAGCAGAAAAAAAGCAGAAAAAAGCACAAAAAAAAGCAGAAACTGGCGCAGGAAAAAAAGGAAAATAACTTTGTTTTTTTTTTGGGTGTTTTTTTGTGGTATGAATTGTTGTTTTCTTTTGGTGTTTTTTTGTGGTATAAATTGTGTTTTTTTTGGTGCTTTTTTTGTGGTATGAATTGTGTTTTTTTTTGTGTTTTTTTTGTGGTATGAATTGTGTTTTTTTTTGTGCTTTTTTTGTGGTATGAATTGTGTTTTTTTTGTGCTTTTTTCGTGGTATGAATTGTGTTTTTTTTTGTGCTTTTTTTGTGGTATGAATTGTGTTTTTTTTTGCGCTTTTTTTTGTGGTATGAATTGTGTTTTTTTTTGTGTTTTTTTGTGGTATGAGTTGTCGTTTCTTTTATTTTTTTTTGTGGTATGAATTGTGGTTTTTTTGTGGTATGTGTGCTTTTTTTTGTGCTTTTTTTTGTGGTATGAATTGTGCTTTTTTTTGTGCTTTTTTTTGTGGTATGAATTGTGCTTTTTTTTGTGCTTTTTTTTGTGGTATGAATTGTGCTTTTTTTTGTGCTTTTTTTTGTGGTATGAATTGTGCTTTTTTTTGTGCTTTTTTTTGTGGTATGAATTGTGTTTTTTTTTTGTGCTTTTTTTTGTGGTATGAATTGTGCTTTTTTTTGTGCTTTTTTTTGTGGTATGAATTGTGCTTTTTTTTTGTGCTTTTTTTTGTGCTTTCTGGCAATTGAAAACAAATTAGATAATAGTTTCCCTTCGCAATTTCAAGGACGAACGGGCTGGAAACGCGCATGATTTGTGTTTTTTTTTGTGCTTTGTGGTATGAATTGTGTTTTTTTTTGTGCTTTTTTTTGTGGTATGAATTGTTGCTTTTTTTTTTTTGTGGTATGAATTGTGCTTTTTTTTGTGCTTTTTTTGTGGTATGAATTGTGTTTTTTTTTGTGCTTTTTTTGTGGTATGAATTGTGCTTTTTTTTGTGCTTTTTTTTGTGGTATGAACTGTGCTTTTTTTGTGGTATGAATTGTGCTTTTTTTTGTGCTTTTTTTTGTGGTATGAATTGTGCTTTTTTTTGTGGTATGAATTGTGCTTTTTTTTGTGCTTTTTTTTGTGGTATGAATTGTGCTTTTTTTTGTGCTTTTTTTTGTGGTATGAATTGTGCTTTTTTTTGTGCTTTTTTTTGTGGTATGAATTGTGCTTTTTTTTGTGCTTTTTGTGGTATGAATTGTGCTTTTTTTTGTGCTTTTTTTTGTGGTATGAATTGTGCTTTTTTTTGTGCTTTTTTTTGTGGTATGAATTGTGTTTTTTTTTGTGCTTTTTTTGTGGTATGAAGCTTTTTTTTGTGCTTTTTTTTGTGGTATGAATTGTGCTTTTTTTTGTGCTTTTTTTTGTGCTCGGGAGCGCCGGAAAAGCACAAAAAAAAGCACAAAAAAGCACAAAAAAAGCACGAAAAAAGCACGAAAAAAGCACAATTTCTCTGGAAAAAATGAATCTCAGGCCACCTGGCCTCGACAGCCTTCGGACCAGCGGCCCGGCAAATGTCTCATACCATTTCCTTTTTTCCAACCTCCTTTCCAAAAAAAACTCTCAAGAGTGAGCCCATGCCAGGAGCGGGAATGTGAAAAAAAATGTAATTATCATATGATGTTTATTAAGAACCTCAACAACTATTGTTGGAGGCACGCCTTTGTAACGCTTTTCACTTATAACTTACAATGGTTGGACCGTTTGATTGCAGTATCTCGGTATCTCAGGTATGTCAGGTATGCTGCATTCAATATTGTAAAGAATGTCATGAGTCATAATATCGTATCATCATATCGATGCAACACCTTGCATCATCATACCATATCATTGCCATTGCTATTTGACACACAAATATTCAGATAAACAAAATCATGTCAGCTGTCAGACTTCCCAGAACCATTCCAACGTTCCAACCATCAAAGGATATCAACAGCAACATCGATACTTTGATTTTTTTGGCTAGTTGATGACAAGTTCAGCAAACATGTCTTGATGGCTCCAACAATATGGCGCAATACAAAAGGATGTTCGTTAAAATGATTTAAATGGTTTAACCACAAACAATGCCACCTCAAAGGTAGTGATGTTGTTGCATTCACTACTCCACCCTTTGTTACTTGTACGGCCCACCTAGATCGCATCTTCTCCTAAGCAGACCCTAAGGATCCCCTAAAATGGCCTGAGTTACCACCAATATGATTGTGCTTTTTTGGTATGTGGTTTATGAAGGGGGGACAGTTTTGAACTGTTAGTGGGCGGGGGCAGACCTCAAGTTATAATGGTTTATAAACCAACTTATAACTGAGGGGGTCCCATCCTGTAGGGATTTCTTCTCAATTGTCCCTTCAGATTTGAGATGTACATAAGGATATCCGAAAGATGGATTCAGATTTTTGCAGAATGTTGCACATTTTATTCACTTGAGGGTTTCCTAAAGTGGGGAATTCCCAAAATGGATTGTTTACAATGGAAAATCCTATTATATACATGGATGATTCGGGGGAACCCCCGTCTTAGGAAACCTCCACTTATATTCACTTCAGAATTTCCAAGTTCCCAACTTTCCTATCCTTTCTGGGTTTGCTGTAAGGGCCATGTAACAAGATTGATAGCCGACTATCCTCCAAATTATGGTCACATATGGCGCAGTACTTCCGCGTACCTGACAAGGCTTAGATCAGGGCATGTAACATCCTTATGCAACTTGACTATCATGCAACCCCACCCGATCTTTCGTGTGAGATAAGTTTTCTATCAAAAGGGGCATCAAAAACGATTAGAAAAAAACTCAGTGGATGGGTTGAACGGAACATCTCAGTCAGAAACTGCATAAATTTACCCCTTGAAGAAATCCCTTGTCCTGCAGCTTTGCCCCAAAAAAACTTGAGGGTTTCTTAAAATATTTAAAATGTGAGATCCCCAGTTGTCACCATGACTGGATGATGATTGGGGCTATCCCCCTGACGAAACGGAAACCGACCGCCCGGCTGGATCCCATGAAAAAAGACAGGTCGGAGTGGCATCACGTGGCCATTTTTCAAGCCAACCAACAGACCTTCGCGTCTTGGCGCTCCTCCCACCACCTGGCTGTTGAAATTGTTAGGGCCATTTTCCTTGTTGCATTTGCTGATGACCAAAGGCTAATCGAACAAGATCTGATGAACCTTAGGTAAACATGACGCGATTTAATGATTTGGACATTGAAACAGTTAAAGTTAAAATTAAACGAGTTAAAATTAAACCAGTTAAACCGAGTGTTCATATAATGATTACCGAAAGGGACAAAATCCAAAGTGGGCCACGCGTAGCAACCTTTGCGGTTTATCATTATGTTTCCCAATTAAACCGGCTGAAAAATTGTGGTAACCATTTTCAGACACACCAATGTGTCATCTAAAACTTTACACAAGCTTTCAATTTCACATAGATCAATCACTGCGAGGTGATTCTTAGAGTCACCGACTCGCTGTGGTTTACTAATCCCAAATGTGACCGAAGGATAATCCCATCCCCTTAATAGTTCTAACACACCCCCTTCTATGGTACCAAATACGTGTATCCCTCTTCCTTCCATGTTTTCTGAGTGACTTACCTAAAGAGTGTAATCCACCGACCAAGGCATCCCACAAATAGTCGGCAATGTCAGGCCCTTTTTTCATTGAATGTCGGCGTTGCGTCTGCGGGAGTCGCTTGTATTGTATATGGGCTATCACCCATAGGATCCATGTATGGTATATATGTTAACATGACTTGGGTATATTGATGGGATCCATGTTACCATATATAGATATATATAGCATACATGGATCCTATGGGTTATGGGCTGTCATCCAAGTACAGGTTTAAAAAACATCCGCGAAAGCTGGAGCTTTGCCATGTTTGGCTGTGTCGTAGACCTGGGAAATTGCCTCAGCTCGGTATGGGTCAAAATACATCTGGTACCATCTGGTTATGACTAACATAGCCACGGAAAATCCCTTATAAATGGAGGTTTCTAGCTGGGAAAATCATCTATAAATGGGCCATTTTCGATGGCTATGTTAAATAACCAGAGTGTACATCATTGTATATTATCATTGTATATGGTCATGAAATGCAGAGAAGGGAAAGCCATCTTTGCAAAGCCTGAGGGGATTGCCGGAATTCTGGAAGTCGAGGAAATCAAACTGTTGAAATGTGTTGAATCTATTTCCCGAAAAAAATTAATCCCCTAATGCTGACACCCGAACTCTTCCCAAAAATCAGGACACGCAGTTGTGGGCACATCCTGGGACGACCTGATTTTTGGAGGGAGTTCGGGTGACAGCATTAGGGGATTAATTTTTGGCGGGAAATAGATTCAACACCTTTCAACGGTTTGATTTCCTCGACTTCCAGAATTTCTGCAATCCCCTCAGGCTTTGCAAGGGTTGCTTTCCCTTCTCAGCATTGACCATATACACGGATCATCAACTTCCGCAAAATGTCGTGAAAGTCACCTCTGGTAAACTAACAGTTTGCTATTGAAAATTGCCATTTAGTTCGTTGATTTACCTCTTAAAAATGGTGGATCTTTCCAGCTCGTTATTTTGGACAGTTTACCAGAGGGTAAACCTCCATTTTTCCATTTTCCTATGGGTTTTCCTATGTTTTCCCATTTTCCATAGTTGATTTACCTATTAAAAATGGTGGATCTTTCCAGTTCGCTATTTTGGACAGTAAAAACCAGGCCGGGTAGTCATGATTTTAGATCCCACTCTTGTCTTATCCCCCGGGCCGCACTTTAGAAGACACTGCCTTGGGCCGGGCGTTGGGACGTTGAAAGATGCCTACTTTCGACTGAAGTGATTCTGAGGGTCTCTGAAACTAACCTGGTTGGTGGTTTCAAACATGGCTTTTATTTTCCATAATATATGGGATAATCCTTCCCTCCATCTTTATCCTGAGTATCAATGGCCATGCAACAGGAACCGATTGATTGGAGGTACCTACCATATGAAAGGCCTATTTTTTAGGCCTATTTTTTGGGGAATATCCCCACAAAATATGGCCTTATATGGTACAGTACCTCCACTTTATGATCCTGAAATTCCCATTGATTAAACATCCCCCATTGGGGTTTAGTGTTGGCTGTACAAAATGAGCTCCCAACTAGTTGGCTACAAGGATGGTCTATTAAAGTCAATTATTTTCTTTACTATATCATATCATAATACATAGATTGAGTGCATCCCACCTATAAACAATGGCCTGGTGACAAAATCTACACCGGAAATCGATCTAAAATGCTGAGATCAGAGATCAGAACCTGACCTCCGTCACCCTTCGTCCTAAGGTTACCCCCAGTTCCAAGTAGCCCGAAAGTAACATCAAATAAGCCATATATGTTTAGTGGAAAAGTCATTTTCCAACCCCTACCGGGTCTATGTTACTGGAGGGTATCATTTCCACAATGTTACCGGAGGGTAAATGAAGAGTTCAACCCTTCAATGGGAATAAAACAGGATCCTAAAACGGAGGTACGTAAACGTACCATATGTTTGGCCATATTTTCTGGGGGTATCCCCTGAAAAATAGGCCAAAAATATATGGAATCGGTACCTCCAATCAATTTTAGGTTCCTGGCCTGCATGGCCATTGATGAAACAATCACCTGATGGTTTTGCCCAGATTCCAGGGTCATCATCGTGAAAATCTACTGGAGAGTAACTGCTACTATTAACCATTAACCATCATTGACGATACCCATAGGATCCGTGTATGCTATATATGGTAACATTTACCATCAACATACCCCCAATGTTAGCATATATACCATACATGGATCCTATGGGATATTATATGATATTAGCATATGTATACCAAGCGTTAATGACTAATCACCATGACATTAAATGTGATTAACATTAACATTATCATTAATAATGATACTATTATATGATATTGACCATTAACCATCATTAACAATATTATAAGCCCATAATTTCCGCATATTTCCACCTTGATGTAGCGGATCAGAGCGTCCAAGTTCCATTCCTCGACAAAATATCGGAAGGGAGGTGACCGTCCAGGGGCAATGTTTTTTTGGTTGGTGGTATACCTACCCATCTGATAAATATGAAAGTCAGTTGGGATGATTATTCCCAATATATGGAAAAATAATACAAATGTTCCAAACCACCAACCAGCAGGAATTCCCTATGGAAGATGTTCCTGCATTTTGAACCTCCATTTGTAGATGTGTGGTTGGTGGTTTTAACCATTTTGAAAAATATGAAAGTCAATTGGAAGGATTATTTCATATATTATGGAAAATAAAACATGTTCCAAACCACCAACAGGCAACTGAAACTATGTTCATTACCCTCTGCTAAACTAACATAACTATGGAAAATCACAATGTTTAACGGGAAAATCCACTATAAATGGCCATGTTCAATAGCAAACTGTTAGTTTACCAGAGGGTAACTGAAACCATGTTCATTAGTAAATTAGGATCAATCCAGTCGTTCCCTAATCAGTTACACATTTACACTTTGAAGAGCTTGGGTGAAACCGATCGAAATGATTGATAGCTAGTCTTGTTTGATGATATCATAACTAATATGATCTATGTGGTAGTAATTAGTAGGTTTAGCACATGAGAATGGGGATGTCAGTTGGTCTAAACATGTTTTAACCGGGAGTTTGTTAGTCAGTTGGTTATCCCCAAGTATCACATATTACGAGAAAAACCTCCAATTTTGATGTCCGTCTGGATAAATTTCATCGATCTCAAAGGTTGATTTGGGGACAGTTCCCTACATTACATAGCTATTGAAAAATTAGATAACCCAAATTACTTTACTTCGTGTGATCCCCACCATGACATTTATACATGTTCTTACTGGCAAATCTTCTGGCATTCTATCTGACATATCTTCTGACATTCTATTTGGCATTCTATCTGGCATATCTTCTGGCCTATGATCTGGCATATCTTCTGGCATATCTTCTGGCATTCTATCTGGCAAATCTTCTGCCATTCTATCTGGCATATCTTCTGGCACTCTATCTGACATATCTTCTGGCATTCAATCTGGCATTCTATCTGGCATATCTATCTGGCATATCTTCTGGCATATTTTCTGGCATTCTATCTGGCAAATCTTCTGGCATTCTATCTGGCATATCTTCTGGCATATTATCTGGCATTCTATCTGGCATATTTTCTGGCATATATTCTGACATATCTTCTGGCATTCTATCTGGCATTCTATCTGGCATTCTATTTGGCATTCTATCTGGCATATCTTCTGGCATATCTTCTGACATTCTTTCTGACATTCTTTCTAACTTTCTTCTGCACATTCTTTGTCCCATATCTTCCTACATGAGGTCCGACAGGGAACACTTGGCATGGATACTCGCAGATGAGGTCCGGCAGGGAACACTTGGCATGGATACTCGCAGATGAGGTCCGGCAGGGAACACTGGGCGTGGCTGGTCGTGGTTGAGGTCCGGCAGGGAACACTGGAACCAGATTCCAAGTGGCCGCCATGCTCGAAATGACAGCTGATTCTGACGAGTTACTTGCTGTTGAAAAGCACTTGGCCAAGCAAAAAGACATGGTAGACTTGAATTGGGATGAGACGAACCCTTTGGAAGCGAGCTACAAGGCTTCCAAGCTCCAGCGTGGCTGGTCGTGGTTGAGGTCCGGCAGGGAACACTGGGCGTGGATGGTCGTGGTTGAGGTCCGGCAGAGAACACTGTGGATCGCGGGTCGCAGTTGGACGAGGACAACGAGGACGACGAGGACGACAAGGACGACAAGGATGACAAGGAGGACGAGGAGGACGAGGAGGAGAGGAGGAGGAGGAGGACGAGGCAGGAGGAGGCAACTGACATAAAATCTAACAACCCTCACCTGGCAGGTGGGGAATCAATTATATAGCAATTTATATAGTTCCAGGGATAGATATAATGAAATATAGCAATTACACTACCAGGGATATCTGGTAATGTATATAACAGTTTGCTATTGAAAATTGCAGTTTAGTTCGTTGATTTACTTATTAAAAATGGTGGATCTTTCCATAGTTATGGGACAGTTTACCAGAGGGTATATAGTATATACATGTATATACTATAAATTTTCCAATTCATCAACCAACCAGTGACTTTTAAAGCCCTGCTGCCAGTGACTTTTTGCGGCGCATGATCAAATTCCAGGTCGGCGACATCCTGGAAGACATCCTGAGACTCCAGACGCGTTCCAGCACACCCTGGAAGGAGTACAGCTGCAATTTTCTTTCCTGCAGAGAATGGCTAAGCCGGCTTTTTGGGTGGATACCCGAGGATAGCTGATTTGAACAGGTCATGAAGCCGCATTGTATGCTGTGTATATATATATATTTTTTTCATTAATATATGTACTATATATATATATATTAGTATATATTATACCTGTATGTTGTAACTACATAAAGCGGGGGACTTTTTATCATGTTCAAATAGTCGCCTTTTCAGAGATCCCAAACGCTCCTGGATCTCCCTTCAATGATCTAATGATCCAACCAGTCATCCTTCATCATCCCTTTCCCCTAGTAAACCATATCATCCAGTACCCTCTGGTAAACTGTCCCATAACTACTGAACATTGCACATTTATAGATATTTATAGTGGATTTACCCATTGAAATTGGTGATTTACCCTTGGTAAACTATCCCATAACTATGGACAATCACCACTTTAATAGGTAAATCAACTATTTCTATGGGCCATGTTCAATAGCTATGTTAGTTTACCGGAGGGTAAATCCTCCTTTTTCTTCCAGATATTTTCCAGCAAATTCCCAATTGCGCCTTTTTCCAGAACATGCCCAAATTGTCTCCCACTTTTGCAGTCATATCCCATGTGGGTTAAAACAATAATAAACCATCCCTCAGTTTACCATAAATGGGTGGTATCAACAGCCATTGCACGAAGAAGATCACTCACCACATGGGTACCCCTAGCATCTATACGAAAGTCTTTCTTCATAACCTCACACCGCAAACAAATGGCTTCTGTGCGGGTTCGCAATGAAAATTCTAGTCCCAAGACTCGCAACAATTCAAATCCACATGAACCGAAAGGTTTCATTGGGGAATTATGTATTGGGGCTCCCGCCTCAAAAGCTCGAATGAGAGCATCCACACGTGGATGCGCTGCAAATGCAGTTCGAAGTAGTGCAAAGAGCTTCGCACTTCGAGCCTGTTGTCCTGGAGTCAAAGTCGAAGTAATAATCTCCTCAGGCCAACTCATCGCTTGGCTAATCTCATTGGCGAGACGTTCAGATGCAAGCATACTCCAAGACCTCAAAGCTTGGATATATGAGTAAAATCCATCAATCTCCGTTCCCTTGTTGTCCAAGACTTGGTGTCAGGTGTCGGTGGGTTCGGCAACGGTTGCAAACCATCAAAAACGGGTTGATTTACTATTGACTTAACCATATTACATTCCCATTTTCCAACCTTCGAGGATTCCAAGCATGTGCTTCAAACATTTTTCCCGAGAGCGTCTGAGCGCAGGGTTCTTCCAATAGTGGGGGTCTGTAAAACATCTTCTCATCTTCACATCTCATCTTCACATTCTCTCATCTTCACATCTTCTCCTCATCTTCACATCTTTTCATCTTCACATCCTCTCATCTTCACATCCTCTCATCTTCACATCCTCTCATCTTCACATCCTATCTTCACATCCTCTCATCTTCACATCTTTTCATCTTTACATCCTCTCATCTTCACATCCTCTCATCTTCACATCTGCTCATCTTCACATCCTCTCATCTTCACATCCTCTCATCTTCACATCTGCTCATCTTCACACCTTCCCATCTTCACATCTGCTCATCTTCACACCTGCCCATCTTCACACCTTCTCATCTTCACATCTGCTCATCTTCACATCTGCTCATCTTCACACCTTCCCATCTTCACATCTTCTCATCTTCACATCTGCTCATCTTCACATCTGCTCATCTTCACATCTGCTCATCTTCACATCTTCTTATCTTCACACCTGCTCAGCTTCACATCTGCTCATCTTCACATCTGCTCATCTTCACACCTTCCCATCTTCTCATCTTCACATCTGCTCATCTTCACATCTGCTCATCTTCACATCTGCTCATCTTCACATCTGCTCATCTTCACATCTGCTCACCTTCACATCTTCTTATCTTCACACCTGCTCACCTTCTCTCTCACGCCTTCTTTTTATCTTTCTCTCTTAAGGCCGAGGGTGGTGCCGGCGGCGAGTCACGAAACGTCAACCCTTTCGCACGAAATGAGGGTCGATCGGCAAAAACTGAGGTAAATTTGCGATTTGACTTGTCCTGGAGCAACCCTTTCGCACGAAATGAGGGTCGATCGGCAAAAACTGAGGTAAATTTGCGATTTGACTTGTCCTGGAGCAACCCTTTCGCACGAAATGAGGGTCGATCGGCAAAAACTGAGGTAAAATTGCGATTTGACTTGTCCCGGAGCAACCCTTTCGCACGAAATGAAGGTCGATCGGCAAAAACTGAGGTAAAATTGCGATTTGACTTGTCCCGGAGCAACCCTTTCGCACGAAATGAAGGTCGATCGGCAAAAACTGAGGTAAAATTGCGATTTGACTTGCCCCGGAGCAACCCTTTCGCACGAAATGAGGGTCGATCGGCAAAAACTGAGGTAAAATTGCGATTTGACTTGTGCCGGAGCAACCCTTTCGCACGAAATGAGGGTCGATCGGTAGAAACTGAGGTAAAATTGCGATTTTTCGTGTGCCGGAGCAACCCTTTCGCACGAAATGATGGTCGATCGGCAAAAACTGGGGTAAAATTGCGATTTTTCGTGTGCTGGAGTAACTTTTTCGCACGCAAAGAGGTTTATGTGTACGAGCGTTTCTGTGTAAAGATGTTTGTGTGTAAAAGTGTTTGTGTGTACAAGTGCATCTGTGTAAAAGTGTTGTGTGTAAAACCTTCTGTGTGTAAAAGTCTTTGTGTGTAAACGGGTTTGTGTGTACGAGTGTTTCTGTGTAAAGAAGTTTGTGTGTAAAAGTGATTGTATGTAAAATTGCATCTGTTTAAACGTGATTGTGTGTAAAAGCTTCTGTGTGTACAAGCGTTTGTGTGTAAAAGCAGCTCCTGTGTAAAAGGGTCTGTGTGTAAAAGTGTCTGTGTGTAAAGGCTTCTGTGTGTAAAAGTGTCTGTGTAGAAGTGTCTGTGTGTAAAAGCTTCTGTATGTAAAAGCTTCTGTGTGTAAAAGCTTCTGTATGTAAAAGCTTCTGTGTGTAAAAGCTTCTGTGGGTAAAAGCTTCTGTGGGTAAAAGCTTTGTGTGTAAAAGCGTCTGTGTGTAAAAGTGTCTGTGTGTAAAAGTGTTTGCGATGCAAACTATTGTCTTGCACTTCTCACTATTTTGTCTTGATACTCCTCTTCTCGACTGCCTATAACACAGCTTTCATATATCGTTTCTAATATTGCGTCTCCATACTAACAAGAGAAGACCCTGCTCCTCTACGCTCTCGGGCCATCCGTCGTCTAGTTTGATTTACTATCTCATAGGATCCATGGCCATGGTGCTGGTATATATGCTAACATGACTGGGGTATATTGATGGGATCCATGGAGCACCATATATAGCAGCACCATGGATCCTATGGGATATAGTATGTATATATAGAATATCTATGTTTGTAACAATATTTAACCACATATAATATTTAATAGTATCATATTATATACCTACATCTTCCCCAGTGTGCATAATTTCTGCCTTTTGAGGCTGTTCTGCCTTTTAGTAAAAGAGCAAAAAAAACGCATGGTATGTTTTGGACAACCTCAAACTTCGTATATTTTCCCCAGGGGATTTTC